CTTAGGGTAGGCAATCTAGGCTTCTCTTAATATAGTTGGTTAAACCAAAAAAAGGAACTACAATGGAGACTATAGGTAGGCTTCTATATAAAACATGCAAAACATTCTGGCTTGATTCTGCTTGTACCTTACCTGAAGATGCCGCTGCGGCTGTCACCAAGGACGGCTGCAGATGTTTGCTGGGGAAGGTCTGTCGCCGTCCTTTCAATTTGTCCCTCCTTTCCCTCGTCTTCCTCATCTGCGTTCTCGCTAACAAAAGCAACTTCATCATCCACAAACCCCTAAACCTAGACCCTAAACCCTAGACCCTAAACCCTAAACCCAACCCTTAACATGCCCTGAGCTCATTCTCATCCTCGAACAGGAGGGCCTGAACCAAGAAAGCTGCAAGCAGGTCTCCAGCGCGTGCGTGTGCCCCTGGAACATGAAGGCCAAGGTGGTCAAGGGCGTGCATCCTTCGAGAGATGCGGCTAGGATTATCCCTACCCTTCCCAGGTACCTACTATATAGGGCCGTAGGGGCTCTAGTACCCTACATAGTAGGTACCTGGGGGTTTAGGGTATGGTGTTTAATGCAATGCACTTTAAACTTCTGCCTGCCGGGCATGCGCAGGATAAGGGCTCACTCTTCCGCACTAGTACGGGTGTCAGGTGAAAGGTGCCTTCCATGCTCGCACTCGGCATTTTCAGGTGGGCACACGGCCTGCTGAGGTGAAAGATCACCCTGACCCAAACACCTAGGAAAAAACGACAAACGGCCATCACACCCTAATCAATCCCAATGCCAGCAAATCAAAGACGGGACAAACATATTGCGCTGACACTTGCAGCCCCGTGCATAAAGATCACGAGCTTATCCAACAATATTCTGCAGCCCTGCGAAATCTCAGAACTGGTGTGCTACTAGTTTAGTTGCCAGTGACTTCCAAGACAAGCTAGGCCCTTCGAAAGAAATATATACTCGAAAACATGCACCAGAGACCCTAAGCACCACAAAACCCTCCAGTCTACACTAGCTTCTGCGCCCGAAGGAAGCGACGGCCTCTGCAATTCACCTCTGCACGTAGGGAAATGAGAGTAGCGACCGCCTCGACAGAGGGTTGCCTCTACTTGTTGGCCTAGTGCTCACGCTTTCGCAACTCGGACTCCGCCAGACGAGGTCTCTGTGTCCAACTACGTCTTCATGCCTACTCTCTGAGGCTGTAATCACTCTTAGTGTTTAGGTTTCAGGGCTTCGGGTTGTTCAGTTTGGAGTGTGGCGCTGACGTTTTCCAGGCTTCGGTTGCAAACTTATATGTACATATTATGTGTATATATACATATAGATGACTGCAAATATATTTACATCTAAATCGTCTACCAATATGTACATACACACATCCTTACACATGTGATGCTCTGTGGTAACCTAAAGTGCGATGCATCGGCTTCAGCGCTCACACTCGGATGCTCGTAGCAAGCGCTTGACGGTCTAGTACCACAGGGAAGTTGAGGGGCCGGATTGGTTTTGGGGCTAGCGTTCCGGGTTGCGCTGTTCATCCCCCTGACAATCCGAAATCGGCTGCAATCGTAGCCTTAACCGTCCTACCTTGACACTGGGCCCAACTTCTGTAGATCCAGGCAGTTGGAGAAGTACATTCTCAAATTGTCATACCTTGTGAGGCTGACGTAGAAACCTGTAAAGGAAGGACCCTAAACCATAAACCATAAACCCTAAACCAACCGCTTCAAGCTGAAATCAGCCTCGGGTTGTGCTCCACGACCAGCCAGCGTTGCCAGCGGTGAGCCTGGGACTTTCTGTAGCTTTGCCCTAACCCCCCAGGTACCTACTATATAGGGCCCTAGGGTCTCTAGTACCCTATATAGTAGGTACCTGGGGGTTAGGGACTAATACCTTGAAATTCGGCTTTTGCTGACAGCAGGCTTTAAGGGGGTTAGGTTCATCATTGAAATACATTACAGTTGATGCTTCGAAAAAAACTCGTTCAGTGCAGCCGATTGGTGTGTTTGCGGAGCTTGGATCAGCATGCTAGTCAGAAACCGGGTTGTGTGCGAAACACTGGCGATCTTTCAACACGGCAAACCAGTCACATGTTCATTTAGACTGTATGATTGTTGTGAGTCAGCATGTCTTGCACGGTCGAAGTTGCAACAATCGCTCAAAGCTGCAACTTCCCCACGACAGAACCCAACATGCTAGGGATATGAAGTCTGTTCGGGGCCTACGCTTGCGGCATCTTGCGGCATTAGCGAATCTTGCTGGTGTGACATACTCGAAGAAAAGAGTCGGAAGCATGTACACAGGTTTCCCAGGAATGTATGAACAGAAACTGAACAATGACCCTAAACCCTAAACCCTAAACCCTGAAACAAACCGTCGTAGAGATCCTTAGACCGTACTTGGCCTGACATCTATAACGATATGTTTTCTCAATTCCAACTCCTTAAACCCTGAATCCTGTACGTCCCATCGTGTAGGGTTGAACCCTCAAAGCCCTAAACCCAAATACATTGACTTGATTCCTACACCCCGTCACACTACCCTAAATTCTAAACCCTCTCACGCTGTTCTTCTCAACTGAGCTCCGGAGCACATCGACGGAGGGAGACAGAGATTCACGTCCTGAGCGCTCTGGCTCCCGATCAAGGGAAAAAAATTTAAGCGTAAGCCATCAAAGGCGCTAAACTCGAAATCCCCCCAACGTCTGAGTCGAGCTCCCCGTCGCCGAAAGCTCTCTCCCAAACCCAAGCCCCCACCAAACTAAGTTGCCCTTTAAGCCCTTTGAAAATTATTTACTATTGCGGTTCTCTACAAAAATAATAAGGGAAATTAAAAAAGATCCCAAAAGACAACCCACCAAAACAACAGCAGAAGCCTCAAGAAGATCCGAGGTGCAGCTCGGTGCTCCACCATCAGACTCACAGCCGAGGCCTGTGAAGGCAGGTGGCTAGGGTTTAGGGTTTAGGGTTTGGGGTTTAGGGTTAGGGTTTAGGGTTTAGGATTTAAGGTTTAGGGTTTAGGCGCAACAACAAAAACAAGAGTACCTGTTGCTCCTAAGCACTGGTGGGGTTTTATCTGGCATAACGGGCCTTTGGGGGATTTCATACTGTTGATGAGATAAACTCTGTCTGCATTACCTTAAGGACCCGAAACTATGGGAATTATGGCATATTCCTTATCATGGGAAATGCAGGATTTATATCATCAACCTAAACCCCCTAAACCCTAGACCCTAAACCGTAGTAGTTCCCTGAAGCTAAACCGTATGGCTCGGGTATGCTTGCCATTTTTCGAGATTGCTTGCGGGTCTCCAGTACCGTTCCTGTTTTGTGCTGACGACTCTTTTGGTCAGGACTCAACCAAGCAACCCAGAACCAAGGAATTGCAGTGGAGAGTGTAGGATGCTTCTGGACTGAGGTCTCTTTCTTGGTTAGGGTTTACGGTTTAGGGTGTAGGGCTTAGGGCTTATGGTCTATATGTCGCACCTATTCGCACCCCATACAATATAGACTCTCGGGATCAAGGCCTGCAGGTCTTCAGGCTAAGCCATAAGTACAAGACCCTAGGCCCCCAAGCCCAAAAACCTGGGGGAGCCCTAGCCCTAGACCCTAAACCCTAAACCCTAAACCCTAAACCCTAAACCCTAAACCCTAAGCCCTAGACATCTCGGGGCCCCTGCTCTATAGCAAGTCCCGATGGCCACGGTTCCCATCTTACAGGTCGCATTGGGATCCGCTCGGAGCCCTGCCAGGGTTTAGGGTTTAGGGATGAGGTCTACTGGGGTGTAGTGTGTAGGGCTTGTTCTTACAAAGGACTTGGGGCGGTTTTGTTAGGATTTTCAGCATTACAAAGGTTTTTCCGGGTATCATAGGGCCTTATGGGAGGGAGGTGGTTCTTACGTTTGTGCAGGGCTTTAGCAGGGTTTTGCAGCCCAGAGGTCGTTTGTCTGTCTAGAGCTTAGGTTTTAAGGCTTTTCTGCGGTCCAGCGGCAGCGCATACAACTTCTACCGTCTGCTACAGTCCACGTGCTGCTTGCAAGGAACAAGACGACGACAAGTAAGACCCGGACGGTGACAGCGGCGGACCGCGACGACTGTTGCTACTGCTACTGCAGCTGTTTCTGGCAGAAGTGGTGGCGACGAGCGGGACCACCAACGTCAGCCCAAAATGAACCCTCAAACCACCACCGCCACCACCATCGTCGTCGTCATCTTCACCATCATCGTCATCACCTTCATCAATATCAACAACATCATCACAGTGCTTCGGATTTGTTTTCGACAAAGCGGGCAATGCACAGCATCATAAACCCTGACACTGGGGGGGGGGGGGGGGGG